CAGCATCTGAACCGCACGGTTGGAGGTGCAGGATAATACGCAGTCCGAGGAAGTGACTCCCTGGATCATTTAATGATCATGTAAGATTTATATTCTTAAAACTGTGCTAATGCAATATTATCATCGACTTCAAATACACAGAACACCAGGAGATGCAGATTTAAAGTTTTGGTCCGGACAGTTGGACATGAAATACTGCTACTTAGGGCTTGGACAGCTCTTTCTGACCAAAGCTATTGAGTCTTACTGCTCCACGTGAGTCAGGCACAATAATCCCGACCCTTATTTCACAGAGAAGGAACTAAGGCATGGAGAGGTTACACAACATCACTACAAGTCCTAGTTTCAACTTAGTTTTGGTAAATATTAGGTAACAGTCTCTCTGTATGTTATTGCATGACCTTTCAGTTAATGATCGTAAATTGATTCCACCTTTTCTGAAATCACTAGCACCAACATTTACAGCGGCACTGACTTCAGTGGAAAAGCAGCAAGCCCTTTCATCTGCTTTATCGCTCTTAATCACACCGATTGGCAAACAAGTAAGAATACTCCACAGGAACACTGCTTGGACAAAGTTCATGAAGTTTAATGGTTAAGTGACCAGGGATGAACACAAAATGTAACAGTCACTAGTTGTCCTGGAGGAGCAAATTCATATTCACAATACATGGTGTAAAGACATAAGAGAAACCCAGTGCATAGTCCCCAACTTAAGACAACAAATATGCAAACACCTAAATTCAACCCAATTCATGAGAATATTTAAACATAGGATTAAATTTTTAAGTCTGCACTTCAATCCCAATGGCCTAATTGGAAATTAAGCATATGCCGAATACTGTTCTGAAAAATGATGGTCTTCTGACTCTGTTTTAAATACTCAGTTCTTCTAATATTTGGTTTACAGTATATTAAAATAAAATTCAACATATGGGTAAAGTAGTGGTAATGGTATTTAGTAAAAACAGCTGCAACTCTCTCATATAGTAGTTACTTTAAAAAAATGCAAATTTTGACCTAATGAAAACACTATCAAACTTGCAGTTCTACAAATGAAGTCAAAAAAAAAATTCAGAAACATAAGAACAAATAAATTTTTAACACATTCAAACACATTTTATTTTTCATCAAGCCAATTAAAAAACTATTAAAAATATAGCTTTGAATAAATCGACAAATATTTATTTTTAATATGAAATTATAAAACACAGCAATATTAAAATAACTGAGAGCATAACATTCTATCAATTTTATTTGTACTTATAAGTATTGTAATATAGATTTTATAATAATTTAAATTTACCCTTTTCAAGTTCACTGGATATCCTTTTAGTCATATTCATGTGTTTTTTAAAAAAACTAAAATAATAATAAAGATTTAAAATACAAAAATACTAAACCTAGAACCCCAAACTGATGGGTAGACTGTTTCATAACTGTTTCTGTGCCTTTAATGGAGCTGCATAAACCTACGATCTAGCCATTAGCTGGAACGATTGCATCGAAAGCATACGGCTTTTTCTGAAGGTTCAAATTTGAACTTCAAAAAATTTCTTTTCTGAGCAGATCTACTAAACCTGTAATTGAAAACAACACTGCTCAGATCTTGAAGTTATTATTCATCTGTAAAGCCAACTCCAGGTTCAGTGAAATTTGTTGACTTCACCAGGAGTTCAGGGAACACACAAGCAAACGTCGCTATGGACAACGGAGTGAGTTCCACTGATCAAAGAACCTCCCAAAGATTAAAAAAAATAAAAAAAGGCTTAAAAATCACTTAAAATTACTTAACAAAGAGGATATGACTAATCAGCAAATTTTACAGATATCAAACATTTAAAATAATTTATGGCTATTACATTATAAACATCGACACGTATGGCACTGATCCTATCACACAGCTGCACGTTCATACTCCAGGACTGTTTACCATCAGCATGCTAACCACGAACAAGCCTCATACAGAATTTTCTGGGCCTCCTTTACAAAACAAAGAGAACACACGTAAATAATTGCTTCCTGTTGTGATACATTACTTCAGATGCACAGAGCCTGCGTCTTCATTAAAGTTCAGAGTAAATTCTATTTTAAAAGTGCCCCAATTCGGGTCAGACAGCTGAAACTGCAAAGACATTACTCATGATCCACTGATCCACAGAAGAATTCAGAGCGCTACAGGAATCTAACACATGGAAAAATACTGATGTAAAGGGTATAAAAAATGATGACTAAAAAAATGTTAGAGCTGGTTTGTCACAGAATATATGGTCTGCTGGTTTATATTTCTTCATTGAAATACTTCTCACTTCCCTCAAAAATTTGACATCCAGAGCAATGGACAAACAGAGAAATTTTATGAGCGAGTAAGAGAGACAGACAGCAAAAGATAAATGATCAAAAAGAGAGAAAGGGGGAATTGAGCAAAGTGCATATTTACTGAGAACTTACTGTTGACAACACTGTATTTCTGAGCTATTAGTGCTGCCTGCAGGCTCTTCCCACTGCCTGGGGGTCCACAAAAGAGAATCCGTGGTGTAAAGGGGGCGGCTGATCGGTGCCGTGTTTGGACATAGGTAAGAACTAGAACATGAGAGAAAGGCAAGAATTACAGTTTATATTGTATTTCTTAAAAAAACCCCAAACAAACACACACCAAAAACCAGAACAAAACATTGATTAACTTCACTCAGGTTTTTTTTTGTTAAGGTTGTCCTGTTGATCATCATTTATTTTATCACTGAAACATCTAGATACCCCAACCAAAATCAGGACTCTGACAAAACTGTCATGGCAGCAGCTTACACTGAAAGGCACTTTAGAAATCTTACTATCATTACACTCCTATACTTTCTTTCATCAGTAGGTATCAAACCATTTTAAAAAGCAGATTCAATTAATAATTGCTCTTTTACCATGTTGTTTTTAGCAGAAGTAATTTTTGCTTGAAAGGTACAATTTTACCATGCAAATTACAAAGGGACATAATTACATTTAATGCTTTCTGCAGCTTCTGAACAAATATTTAAGTGTAAAAACTCAGGATGTTAAATTAATATGACATTTATCCAGCTATGTGTGTGATTAACAGAATCCTAATTGCAATACTACAGACTTGTAGCATAGGTTGTCACAACACAATACGGCATTGACAACATATAACCGGGTATGATTTTTATTCTTTTGTCCATTGTTCTTGGATAACATGTAAAGGATATTTGAGCTTCTCTGTCTGATCCCACTCTGTTTGCTGGACAACATTCTTCTACATTGTGTAACACGGAAGAAATACTACATTCAGGCCAATCTGCAGATAATAAGAGCTTTGGAAAGACCACAGGACACGTGGAGCACCGTCAACATTGCTGTATTATAGAGATCTGAACTTCATTACAGTCTCAAAAGAGAACCTGGTAGATCACCGGGAAGCTACAAGATGACAGTGGCAGTGAGGACAAATTAGGATCATATTTGGACACAGCCAAACACTCTTACTCCCCGTGCCCCTTTTATGGCTAACAACACTAGTGAAGAGGGCAGCTCAAGCTCCAGCACGAGCCATGCAAACTTGCCAGGGATCACAGATTCAAATGCCAAGGCTGAACCTCGTGCCACCGTACCCTGACTGCCATGGTCACCCATGATTAAAGCAGCACGGGCACACCTACCCAGGCTTTGCTTTCCTCCTCATTGCAACGGATCCAACGAAGTCTTAGTCCAGACATCTTCAGTTCAAATAAAGGACTCTCTAGACTAAAGAGTCCTTGTAATAAAATAGGATTTTAGTCCAACAAATAGGACAGGCTTAGACATTAATGTTTCTGTGAATCATAAGCCCATATTAAAAAAACCCACAAAAGGACTGATGGAGAACATCATAAGGATCAGTATTTCAACTGCCATTGTTAATATATCGCTGTCTACCAACAGTGTTTCTGAGGACCCTCTGCTAGACACTTCGGTATCACTATAAAATCTTTTCACAGTAAAGAAGCATCTCCAGCAAACTCCAGCCCTGCTATTTCTAGAGAGCGGGCCTAAAGTATCGAGAAACTAACTCAAACTGCGACCATGTGGGGTCGTATACATTTCTTTCTCCAGTGGATACTATACTGTACAACTGAATATACTGGGACACCACACTGTACGACCAGATTCGATGTCAATATCCTAGCATACATTAGCAGCAATTGCGTTAGAGTTTAAGAGTCTACAAAATTCTGTAATTGTATGAAACAATCCCTAATAATACTAATACTGATGACAGATCTCCTCTTTTTTTTTTAACTATATCCGTAGCAATAAAAATACTTAACAAAAACCCTAGAAAATCATAACAGAAAATAGTGTGTCTGCTGCAAAACTTCCTAAAAACCAAATATCAGCTACCCAAGGAGTGCTCTAGTTATTCTGAACATTTTCCATAGCTCAGTGTATTGAAAAGCACAAACATTGCAGGCAAAGCACCCTGCTTACAAATGATGCTTAATTTGCAGTAAATAACCAAGTTAATTAGGAGTAATGATCCCCTAGACAGTCTCCACATCTAATTATTCTTTAAAAAAAAAATAATCTGGCTGCTTGATGCACTGCAGAAAAGATCTAGAGAGGATTTTTTTCATTCCAGTTTTCAATTTATCTCACTACATTATTAATTAATAATAATTAATATTCAGGCACTCACATTTTTATTTACAATTCAAGGCATGAATTCTTTATGAATGATGATATGAACTTTTAAATTTAATTAAGTAATTTAGAGGTAATTAATGTGTAAATTCAGAATATAAACTTCCTACTTGTTTATCTTAAAAAGTGCAGCACTTGTTATTAAAAAAAGACCTTTTTGAGATGCAAAATTACTAGGATATAACAGATCATCTACAGACTGACAGCTACAAAGTACATTATCAATTGGTCTTTCTGGCAGTTTCCTTAGTCTCTTCTTGAAGAATCAACATTAAAAGTCAGATTCCATTACAGTCAAGCAAAGGCAAACAAGAACTGTTGAACAGAAAAGCTACCAGCACAAACAGCTTTTAAGTAATGAAATGTTACCAGCTTTGAACGACTCCTACTTCTTGTTATCAGACTTGTGGAAGGTACTAGCCCTTTGGGAGATTAACAATTGAGCCACGATGTAGCCTTTTAGAGGAGACTCTCGCAGAAATAACCGTGACATTTGCTCTACTGAGTCAGATGTTCCTTGGCAGGACTGCGGGACTAAGACCTTGCAGTTACCTGCACTTACTCTTGTCCTGTAGAACAGTTACCAGGAACAGCCCAAACACTGTACTAGAGAAAATACAACTCAGGTGAGAGCCATCTGTGTTGCCTAATTCTAATCCTACAAATGTCTCTAGTGGCTAGGAACTAGCTTTCAAATCAGAGGCCATCAACTACCAGAATCGCCATGAAGGTACATATTTACCCTGTGAGAGGACATCCATGGAAGGTTGGTCTGCATTGATTGATTTCAAAACTTTTTGGTAGATCTGGAAAATTGCAGGGAAGTTTCTGTGATATTCCAGCAGTTTCTTTGACATCTCCTGTTCAGAGAGATCTTCTGGTTTCACCAAACGTTGCTGTACCAGCGGATCACTTGGCCAGTCAAAGGTCGTATGGTACACCTCTAGAAGTTAGACACTGATTAGGAACTAAGAGGATGATTTAACAGGTCTTGCTCAGCTCCAAAAGGTTTCCTAAACAAAATCAAAGTCTTTGTTCAAGCTTTATATTGTGGCACAAGCAATAACCTGTGCGCTTCCCTCGCTACTTGTGCTGACAGCTGACTATTACTCAGCAGATGCACAGACAGCAAGTGGCCAAGGTAACTGCCCACCCATGTAGCTGAGACAGGATAATGAGTGAGAACCACAAACTGGGGATAGCTCTCCAAATTCTTAGACTGAACTTTCAGCAAGACCTTTGATAAGCAAATCTCCGTTATAGCAAATAAAAGCTATTTCTTTAGTTAAGAACATCCCTCCTAATTCCACTCCTAAAATATCCAAGGTGATTTTTTATTGAGCAATGTTAGGATTTTATTTTGTGATGGATGACTGATAATGATACTCAACAGACAATACAGAGCTAGGTCTACTTGACAGTCGTTTAATGGAAGACACCTAAAAGCATACCTGCACCTCAGAAAAAACCATGGGATCTAGCAGAGATGCACAGCAAAATGTAAGTTCATATGGACAGATCTAACCTTCACATATTCTGTACTGCCATAGTCTATCGTCTGCAGGCTCAATACTGAGCTTTAAGTTTTCCCAGATTTTGTTGGCACAGAAAGTAATGTAATGTCAACAAATGCTTTTTTCCAAAGAGTTTAAATTTAGAATTCTAAATTCCTACTCGTTCTTAAAGGGATACCATTTAAATTTTAATCTCACTGGTATTACAGTGTTTCTGAGACCAAGCAACACTCCAGTTTCTAGCGGAGATAGGAACAAACACATACTGCACCTTCTGTGAAGGGATCGAGCCTTTTCCCACTGTTCCTCTCAATCAGCACAGTGTCTGGAGCATAAAGCACAACTAGGCACCAGAAAGAAAAAAAAAAAAAGGAAGAAAAGAAAAAAAGTGTAGCTCTGGTTTGTTAGTTGCTTTATTTCCTGTAACTGTGTAGATGTATCCTAGTATTAAAGACGGATGAATGTATTTCAAGCCCATTTGCCTCATTCTCCTTTCCCAGTATTCTACCTGCAAATACTGCACACTTTTAGCCAGAATTCTACTCCACCTCCTACACAGTAGAGTGGGATAAAATATACATTAATCCAGTCCAGCACCCAGGAGTACCAGCTGTCCCTGTCATCCACGCCAATTAACAACGTTCTCCCTCACTTACATTGTAGCTGCAGTCTAGGACAGAAGTACTCACAGATCACTTGAGACTGATTCTCTTCTACACCGCAAGCAATTACTTTTCAACCAGGTACTTCGGTAGTGAGACCAGTGAAACTTATTATTTTATAACCTCACAGAAAAGTGTTCAAACTTGAACAGAAAGCATCAAAAGATGGAGAATCTGTCAGTTCCCTGGGTTGCCTTTGGCTAATCGTCCTCACAGTTAAACACAGTAATTTAATTACTATTTTCTGTGCATTTGATTACAGGTTTCAAACAAGTTCTTCCTATGACTTTCTTCTCTGTATCAGATAGCTCTTTCAGACGCTTTTCTCCCTATTAAGGCACTCATACACCGTAAATCTCATCTCCTCTCAATCTTCTTTTTGATTAACTAGACAGACTGAGCTTTAAGATTCTCATTTAGGTCTTGGTTGCACAGATATAATTGTGAGCAAAACTCAACTTCAGATGTTATTAGCTATATTAAAAATACATGCAAGCACTAGACATTAAACTTTCTTGCCTAACTCTATTGCAGCGATTCCGAATTCTTCATTAACAGTCAAATCTCATCCAAATCAAATCCAAAGTGACAATTCATCACGTTTGCTAACATTCTGTTCACTATCCACTGGCAAGCTCTACGTTTACCATCTTACACTATTCCACACAATTGCAATAATTTCTTACATTCTAAGTAGGTCCTTCGACTACGTTAATTTGGGACAACTGGCTGCTTCTAGATGGCAAGGGCACCTGGCAAGGTCTTGTCTATCAGCACTTTGCCAGTAAACAAATGTTCCTCTGAAATCAAGCCAGAATCCACCCATACTCTGAAAGGTCACGCTTAAAATCATGACATTTCCACTTCACTTGATGGGATAAAGTTCGCTAAGTTTGCATTCTTTAACTCAACTGCAGGATGAATTTGTATTTAGTACACGAGGAATTGTTTTGGTCTGGGGACAAAGGCTGATTTCTAGAGATGGAAGTCAGGGAAAACTTAGATCCACTTCTGGAACAGAAGCAAAGTTACATACAGCTGCTCAGAGACACTTGCTGGAGTGGTCTTGAATTTACAGAACTCTAACGTGTAAGAAGGAAAGGGTTCATGTGTGAAAGACAGGGTTTAAAGTCTCCCAGGTTACCTCAAGCTTTTGAGCGAATCCGAACCATACTGATATATTGTGCTGTCTGGAGACTCCGGTGTCTCCAGTATTGAATTTATTGAGGATTTTTTGGGAAAATACTTCTAGTCTTTCCTACTGGATGCAATCACACATAAAACTTGTACTGCTTACCAACATGCCTAGGAATGATGCCAGATGATTGCAGAATCCATGCCTGTTCCTGATTTTCAGGGAAGCCTTCCAAAATCCATCCCTATTGAACAAAAACATGAAACAGTTATTGATCCTTGAACAGAAAAAACAAAAATGAGCACTAAATATCAGTGCTATTTGCTCAAAAATTACCTCATTCTGATCCCACAACAGCACAGTATTTGTGATGGATGCTTGGGAGAGAAGAAAGCAAACATGGAGCACTGATATTTTTGGGAAATGGCATGCACTAATACCACTGCCACAGAGCAATGGGAACTTATGTATTGTAGCAAAGAATTTTTTTTCATGTTTCAATCTTAAAAAAAAGAAACTTCTATCTTGAATAAAAACAACCAAAAACAATTTCTACAGTTTTGAAATATTCAAAAGGATACCAGCCCACACTGTGTATAAAAAAGAGGCTAAACAAATCTAAAGACAGATTTAATGCCAAGAACACTGAGGAAAATATGCACGCTTTCATTATTTTCTTAAATTATACAGGAAAACTCACAGTAATGGAACCAGCGTTCCCAAAGCTAATGAAGCAACAGAGCAAAAGAAAGAAAAAAGAGCCTTTTGCTCCCTTAAGTCCTTGTTATAGCCAGCTAAGTGTTGGATTGAGCATCTTTAAAAAAACATTTACAGATCTGTGAAATACCATAGGAAAGCTGCAGCCCCACTCAGCTTCTGTGTGATGCAGTATTTGAAATCTAATCCTCTTCCCAGTCTCAAGTCTGAGTCTTCTGAACTTTCTCTAATTTTATCTGTTAGTTGCTAAATCACACGTGTCTTTGTCACTATATCCTATACCTCAAGACAACTTTGTGATACTACAATAAACCTGGAAACCACCTTTGTACTGAAATACAGAAGATATTTTAATCTTGCATTAGCTAGCAATCATTATCATCTCCCACATACAGTTAAAGTTCTGTCAGTACGGGGTGCAAAGGTTTAGGAGTATTTCAGGGAAACGTATCTCCATGACTTCTGTAGGAGGAAATTGGGACATTCCAATTATACAAGAAAATAGAGTAGACTATTTAAAATTCCTTAATTAGCCTCATTTCAGGAACATGTCATCCTGCTGATATCTGTAGAAAATAAGAGACTCCAGTAACTGCAAGCCATTTTGGCCACTCCCAGCGTTTGCTCTACCGAATTAGAACGAACCGCTGCCTAAGGTCATCCAGGTGCTGAGAAACCAATTTATCCCTTGGGACACGCAGGAGGCAAAGCTGCACAATATTTTTAGCGGTATGCCAGGAACTTCAGCACTAGTTCTGAATATATTGTGCCTGTACAACATATATATAGACCCAGATCCTCTTCTAGGGAGAAGTGGCATCAGAGGTCTGAAGCCAATAAATCTCTGTCAATTTACACAGACCACAAATCTGGCTCATTTTCTCCACTCCAAGTGCAACACTTTTGGAAAACAAAACAAAACAAATAAAAAACCCCACCCCACAAAACCGTTGCTTCTGATATCACTACGGCTTATCGCTCAGAATCACAGGCAGTAAACACAATATTGTATTTTAAGAATGCACAGCAAACTTCCAGAGGTTTATGCACAAATTTCAAAGGTCCTTAAAACAGGCAATAGGCAATTTTCTAGCTAAAAGTTTTTGCAATGTAAGAGAACATAGCTCAGTAGCCAGCTTCCTGCAACAAATAAGTTGTAAAAGGCATTAAAAAAGTGCAAAATAAACACAGACTACCAAAATAGTTAGCATTTTGGACCTTATTTCCAAAGGTCTCCGAGTTCCAGGGTATCAGTCAGTCCCTAATTAGAATACATTATCCATCTACTTGACACTTCAGTGAAATGTCTATTCCACCACAGAGCTGCAGCTTTGTTCAGAACAGGTTTATTGATATTCTGCTGCATTCCCTCTCCATACCCCCAGTGGCTTGGTTCTGTTTTATCACACATCAAAAAGGCCGTATGCTCAGGGCACCCCATGCACAGCTCAGAGCTGGAGGTCTGAACAGCTGCAAGTAGTATGGTATCACAGGAGGGACAAGCTCCAAGCAGATGTCACAGATAAAAAAAAAAAAAAAAAAAGAAAGAAGGAAAAAAACGAGTAAAAAGGGAGTGTGGCTTGGGAACGAAGCAAGAGGAAGCAAGACACAGCAGAGCAAGACCTGACTTAAAATATGCCTATCATGCTTTATGCAAACACTGGTCTTTTTTGCCCTCCTGACTATCATTAAAGTGTAATTAGTAACTTCACATGGTAAATTTGTTTCTTTAAGAAGCCATCTATTTTTTGTTCTTGATAGCAGTAACCTTACATCCATGCATGGATTGCACCTTATCACATCAAGGGTGGAACAAAGCTAAAAGTGAGTAATTCCACAGCGCCTTTACTCTGTGGTCACTGTTCCCTCTCTTTCAGCTGGAAACCTCAAATCCTTCCCCACATGAAGGCTGCTGTAAATACAGCATTCTGCTCTTGCCTTAATGCCACATGAAGTGCTCCTTGGAGACCCAAGCCATGCTGAAAATCAGCAACAAGGAAGTACTTTCAAAGCCATCGCTTTCCTCTCCAGATTTAAGGAACCTGGAGAAAAGGAAACGCTCAAGGTCATTCCCAAATGTAAATCTCACTCCTTTGCTGGCACTGCTCTCAGCTCTAATACCACACCTACGTACTTTCACACTTTCTACCCCAATAATCACAACTTGTGTATTCAAGTTCTTTCTTGTTATTTGACCTGTACATCCTCAAATACTTATTTTTACTATAAATCCAAAATTGACACTGCCTTAAAATAACGAAAAGGGATAATACAAAGAAATAATGCTGAATTACGTGGCACATCTGAAAGAAATGTCAGCCACAAGCATAAAGATGAAAGGTCATGAATGCTGGTGCCTTTAGGAAAAGGAGTCGTCACAACAGATTTCCACATCATCATTCAGTATTTTTGAAAAAGTATTACATGCCTTTCACTCCCATTTGAAGAAAGGGGACAGACAATAATGCAGGAAAGTATCAGCAATAGCTTTGCCAGTATGGATATAAAATTTCTGAGATCTTCAGAACACAGCAGACTGAGGAGTGCAATAGAAATATTATGACCCCACTCCTGCAGTCCGTCAATATTAGCAGTGTGGATGACGGAAGAAGCTCAAACTTCACCAAATTTCCCATTAGAAAGAAACCTTTTATTCCCCACGCTATTTTTGTAGGTTGAGTAAGCTGCAAAACTATGAAAAATCCCCAAAAAACCAACACATTCTTCCCGGAAAACAAAAAAGATGGTGAATAGGCAGATTCTCTCCCCAGATAAATCTACGTAACTTCACTATCCTTGCGTGGAGTTTCACAGAGACAACGTGATGTTCTTTACCTGCCAAGGCAAAACCAAAAAGACCCGATAGCCATTGCTCTCTTTGCCTTCTCTTTCAAGGACAGGCACTCCCCTTCTGAACTGTTTCATACCGATCAAAAGTAATTCTGCCACTTCTTGTGAGCATCACAGGCCTAAGCTTAGTTTCTAAATGGTCCTAAGACATGAGTGAGGTTGCTCAGCTCATTCTCTCACAAATTCATCACGTAGCAATCTCTTCACCAGCCTTCCCCTGTTCTATAAATTCCCTCCACAACACCAGCAGTCAGAGGGGCTGTAGCCAACATGCACTAACTCTGTAAGATGAAAAGTCTTCATATCAGCCTCACAAGTCCCAGGTTCTAACATAATGCTTGCAATAAGTTTTCTGCCTATGCTGGAAGACCTACCCGTCTGATCCCTCGCAGTCCTAACTACATTTGTATTAGAAGAACACATAACACAGAGTCTCAGCAGAGCTGTCGATCAATAAAAATGTCCTCCTTGGAGAGTGCCTGTGACATCTATAAACCTGTGAGTGTCAAAACAATGGCACAGAAAATCCTGTATTCCTACTGTCAGTGGGATGAAAGCTGTACAATTAATGCCAAGCCAATGACACCACAAGGACAAATAAAACAAACAGCTGGAGGTACTATGGTCCAACATACTGCTCCTAATCTATTAACATTTTCAGAAAAAAAACGCTGAGTCATGCTTTGCAAGAAATGGCATAAATCTGTTCATTGATGTCAAAAATCCACAGTATTCATTCTATTTCCAGTCACACAAGGAAAATACAGCAATTAAAATGTACAGACCCTCTCTCACATGGAAGACACATACAATGTGAGGAAGTTTTAGTGACCATAAATTACCATCTATTACTTAAAAGATTTTTAATAACCATCACAACTTTGAAAAGTCAATTATGTGTTTTTTCCTAAAAATAGCTGAAATCTTAACCAGACCAACAACATCCACGCCATTTTGCTGAATGTCAGGGAGGATTTATAAAGGGTTTTTCCTCCCCCTAGTTGTGCGAGACATCCAGCACTGATTCAGTGTGGCTGGTGATAACAGGAACATAAACCATAGGCAGGACACCATGCAGCTGCTGGCATTTTAACCATCTTGTCACCTTACTCAGAGTTTACGTGACCTAATATTTAAAATAACAGTCATTGAGAGATCCTTCCCTCGCTATTAAAAGGAGAACTAGAACCACAGCAACAATTACAGAAAGCATTGGGCAAAAAAAAAGCAAAGGGCGGATGCAGCCTTTAGAAAGCAATGGGTTTTGTTTATACACCAATGATGAGTGAAACTCACTTTAACAGTATCACAACAAACGCCGGGAAAATTAGCTGTTGAAAACACACCTTCTTTTAATCAGGCAAAGAGACTTATGCGAAAAAATAGGTGTGTTGGAGAGGTTTTAGAGCTACTGTTACAAAAGCCCTAAACTCAAGAGTTATTCACCCACTTGCTAGTTTACAGCAACGCCTGCCACCCAACAGCACTCCTCGGGATAGCATCAGAGGACAGACTGACCCAGAAACCACCACCTTTGAAAGATCACGTGAGAAAATACTTAACCAAAACTATTGAAAATACCAGGAGTACCCTGGCATCTTCCTGCCCCGCCTGCTAACTACTCGTAGCACAACCAGAGAAGCTGTTAGCGTTAAGCTGAGGAGGCCCGTGTTTGGGGTCTGAAACCAGCCTACAGCCTGGCAGCTAGCAGTCAGAAGAGCAGTTTCTCTCTTGGGTTTAACATCTTTCTACCTTACTTTCATTTCTACAGGTTTAAAGATATTTTAAACATACTCATTAGAGGAGAAGTTTCACTTGAGATAGATGTTCCACATCTTGCCACAAGGACAAGGTAGTAAATCATACAGTCACCTGACTTGCTGTATATCCAAGATAACTCATTGCACTGTTTACATAAAAAATGTTGACATTCATTGTCTGGTTTTGCTGATCATTTGCCAGTATATCCAGAGCTGACAGTATTGGTTTCTCAAGTGTTCCTCAGCTACACATTTTAATTCAAAATGCCACAAAAATTAACAAGGTGGTACACCACATGAGTGCTTTTAAACAGGTTCTCCTGCCAATTAAAAGGCTTAAGGCCTGTGTGACTTTAGTACAGATAAACAAATACATTAAATACTACCAGACATTTGAGCTGGAGTGCTAAATAACTATTATGAATCAAATTAAAATAAAATAGAATAGCTCAGCTAAAAAGACCTTCAAGAGAAACCAGCTAAAACCATATAATTCAAGCACAGTGACTTGCAATGCGAAAGTAAATCTAAAATAATTTAGACACAAGCTTGGTTTCTGTTTCATGAATTTCCCTTCATAAAAGCAATTGCTCACATTTCTGTGGAGGAGGAGGAGTCCTATGCTGTCATTTGTAAACATGTATGGGAGCAAATAATGCATCCCAAAGTCATGTTACAGTGTCTTGTTAAACCTGGATTTAGCTAGAAATGCAATGAATCGTTCAAAAATCACCCACATTAACTTATTTTCACTCCTTCAGAGCCTTCTCTACTGATGGAAAAGGAAGGACTTTTTAAACAAGATAATTCCTAATGCAAATAAGGGCACTGTCATGCAAATAAGGGCACTATCATGCACTCTTCTATGACCTGGTAAAAGAACAACATTAACTGGGCAAGGAAGGGTTTGTTTTAGCTTAATGACTTTTATCAGCGACATTAAACACCACCATGTAGTATCCTAAATTAAATTCTCCTGCAAGCAGTGGATTGGATAATGGGATAGGCTACTGCTAGTTCTAAGCTACTGCTTAAAGAGACCAGGGTACTACCTGTTTTGCTACAGCTATATGCTCGCAACAGAAATATGACACAGACAGATGCCCTCTAGCAAACCTCTCAGGCAGGAACAATTTAAGAGATTACATCTCCAGCTATTCATTACCATCCTGATCAAGTTATCCTTTCCACAGTTCATACGCTGTAATTGACCATCTGATCTAACTTACACAAGGAGGGTCCATATGAAAGCCACTTCCATCAGTGGCTTAAGCTAAGGTAGTTGACTTTGCAGTGACACACGTGAAGACTTCTATGGCAATAATTCACATTATCTGAGTTCTAAAAGCTGAAACATTCAATCAGGGGCAGAAAATGTTTTCAGTTCTTCCTGCCAGTTTTGTTGATGTTTCTCTGCACCTATAGACACCTCTGTGCTACAGAATTATCATCTTAAGAACTACAGCCCAATGGCTCAGCCCCCAAAATGATTTTGTTTTATACAGATGGAAGGATCCAGTCTGCAGATCATTGCAGACTACACACAAAAAAACCCAACAACCCAAAACCCACAGAGGCAGAGAAAGAAGCACAAGACAAAACATTTTCAGCACTTCCAGTTTCTTTCAGTGCTTAATGCTAAGAAGCTTTAGGATTAAATTTTCACACTCCAATGAAATGTTAATTACCAGCCCTGCTTTATTCAGCCAGCAAGGTAGATGATGGTGATATTGAGAAGCAACAGATTTTAACAAGTATCTCTGTGGAGTCAGTTATCCCCTGACCCAAAGGCGTGGGTATGAGTGACTGTTCTGAAGACATGTACAACTGATCTGAATGAAGCTGTTTAGTCCTTCATGGGTGTAACACCTACTTTGGACTGGACTTTTTCTGCTCAAGAAGTGCATCAAATAATGTGTGGTCTGTATTTTGGCACTGCTTAGAAACATGGTTTTATCCATTAGATGAGTATCTCTCTTACAAATAACGCCTTATAATGGGCTGGTTATGGACTCAATAAACCATAACAACATCTGAGATTTTAAAGGAAACACATAAAAGAGATTTTGCTTTCTTTGGGTCCAGAAATTAATTTCAACCAATATTAATCTACTTGAGTTCTCTTTTGGTTCTACGTTAAAAGTCTCTACTCACATTAAGGCTAAGCATACAGGGGAGAAAAAAAAACGCCACACATCTGCGAATACAGCTAAACCTATTCAGTTGCCTATTTGTGTAAACTAACAGTGAACATATTATTACCTAGAAGAGAATACATTCAAATGCAGTTTTTCCCAACACAGGAAGAAAAAAAAAAAAGACACAATGAGAAATCAAGAAAATTGAAATGAGTAATATTAAGACTCTTTTTTTACCTTTCCTCAATAAGAGTTAAAATCTTAACTCAATATATTGATTTTTATATTTTTCTGTTTATCTGTTTTGTCCACTGTATCTCTGCCAGTTGCCCCAGGCAATCAACAAAGCTATGCTTGTTCAGCCTTTGATCATCTCTGTGCTAGAAGATTAGCATATGCATACTCTCATCCTCCCCTTTATCCTGTTAATAAAGCTCCAAACTCCCTCTGCTGATGTTCAAGAAAGCAATCCGCTCCAGAGCCCCCAAAGATTTGCCCCCATTCCCTCCTCTGCTCAGGACTCAGAATGCTAAGTACTACGCGTGAGTTGTGTAAGTGCTTATCCACCGGCCCTCTGAGGAGCAATTCTTACTTGTTTGATGCAGTCCACGTTTGACAGACGTTCCTGGATCAGATTGGCCCAAAGCGCGTTGGGAATTTTCTAAAGAAAGAACAAAAAAAGGCTGAATATTCACAATTGAGTTCAAAAGGAATTTTACCATGCAGGCATATTCCGGTTAAAGGTGAAGTGAGATGTCTTCTTAAAAATAAATAAATAAATGAATTGGTGCAAGTCCCAAGTCATTAACACAATATATCAGAGAGTTAATAAGGGCACAGGAATCAGTATTGAAGGTAAGCTGAACACAAAGCCTACATCCATGGGTTTTGCACACTAACATGGAAGCAGTGCCAAGTTTCGCACACTAACACACACGTTGGACATCAAACCTGCAAAGGGTTCCGTAAGAACATCACATCCACAAGTAGTCCTTGGTACCACAAATTTCTGACCCGCTACTGCTCCATAGGTCAGTGAGCTCAGCATTAGTGATCTTAACAGCCACCACGCGAGACAAGCATAATCTCAATCAGAGCAAATAGAAAGAGTCTCATTTTGAGGAGGTTTGTTTCATAGTTTCAAGTAACTCTCCCTCTTTCATCATCCAGGAAGTTTATTTAAAATACATTTTACAGCTAAAGTTAATTTTCAGGATAACGTTAGTTTGTTTTTAGACTCAGGACAGCGAAACGGGATTGAAACCTGTATGTGCTAATATTTTCAGAAGTGCCATTTCTTTCTGTGGCTATTACTTTGCCCATTTCTAGAGATGTTGTGTAAGTCAGTATTTGCTATCTGACACAAGAACAAAATTCCTCTACAGATTTAGCATCCCACCCCCCAATATTTCTTCCATTATTATATTAGATTTCCTGACAAGAAATTAACAATACCCTTCTTTCCTTCTTGTAAGAATTTTCTTTGCTATCTTGTTAATTTAGGCCTTCATTCTATGCTGAACTTGGTTAAACAAACTCTATGTCAGCCAGTTTAACTTGATAAAGTCTAAATGTTTGGCCATGCCAGTCGGAACAGCTGTTAATTGTTTCCCTAAATGCTTTGTCTCAGTCTCATTCATTTTGTTATTATTAGTAAAATGAATACTCAGAAAAAATTCTGCAGTCGGACTCTCTACTTCTCAAATCAAAAAATTACCTGTCGCTCAATGATGTGAGCTTGACTGTTGTGTTCCCTGCAGTTCCACATATTCTGGGTTCCCATCTCTTTTTTTCTAACCAAACAGTCAGAAGGGCATAATCCCCCAAAAAGAGTATTTCTGTAGGGTTATGTTATACTAAAGGATGTAGATAGACACAATGAAAGCATGGTTAACTATGAGGAAAGATTTCATAACAATCTTCCTCATAAGACCATGAAACAATTTCACCAGGAGTGGTGGAAATGCTACCACACAAGTCACTTTAGAGTGGAGGAAGCACTCCAGAATACGCAAAAGGGACCAGACCTCGTCTGGCTGTGGAAGGGACAAGGTGGTCCAGTCAGGCAGTGGGTTTTCTTGTTTTGTTTCTCTCTCCTGTCCCCAGTTCCCAGTGCCTTTCCTAATATCAGCCATTCATAAGGCAACAATCAAGCAGGCAAAAAGGGGAAAGGAATTGCCGTGTTTTTTGAAAGCCAGCAGGTCCCATAGGGTGGCGCGTCAAAGCCTCCTGCAGCCTCTCGCTGCTGCAGCCTGGGTCTGCGGCTTTGAGCCTGCCCCCTTCCAAAGGTGCATCATGCTGCTACCAGAAACAGCGAGCGTCTTGCTTCCTGCTTTGATGTGTCACGTCAAGACAGGCTAGCGACGGCCGGGGGTCCACTCTGCTAAGCCTTGCCAAACCAATTTAGACCAAAATTATCCTAATGCCTTTCAGTGCTGAGGTACTCTTAGTCCTCTCTTTTAAGCAGGGTTTATTGCACACAAACAATCACGGGCACACAGGCAGGTATTTCGGTGATTTAGTTCCTTCTGCTCTCTGTGGCTCGATTCCAGTCTCATTTCCTGGTCAGTGTTCTCCTACCGAGCAGTGGCCTACAAAATCACTTTCAATGGGTTGCTTGCAGGATGCCTAATTATTCAACCAGAGATCATTAAATCTGATCCATATCAGATAGCACATTTCCAATTTCTCTCTCATAAACACCCACATAAATATATCAAGAGCCTGCAAGATGGGGCTGCACCTCCCAGAAATCTGCAGTAAAGGACAACGACACACATACATCTGATAACTGCAGGATCGTATCTCACCTAAGGTGCTCTGAGCCTGGCCCAACATCCAGTTTAGTTAATGGAAAGACTTGCTGCTATGGAATTTTGTTTATGTTCAGACCACTTTTCTACACACACTGGTTTAATCACTATTTCCATACTGCTGAAAAACTGTACTCATTCATGATTAATTTTAAATATTCCATGTTATTTCAGGGACATCATACTTCAACTTACATACTCAGAGTTATATTTCAATTATGTTTTCATAAAACTGCTTCACTTTTGGGGGGGGGGGAGCACTTTCACTAGACATTTTTATTGGAAATTTTTGATGTACAGCTGAAAATTTGCGACTTCTCCAAGCTTGCACCTCAAAGAGAAAAGCAGTCAAGTTTGAAGAAATTTGGTTCAGTATTCTGAGAATCGTGAATGTTTAGATTTAGTTTGTTCAGATAAATACACATGAAAGGCCGGTCTTTTTTTCTGTGTACACAAGACTGGAACAGTTCCTGTTTACTCCTTCATAGTGGCTTGTCCTGGAATAGATTAGAATGCTGAACATGCATGGATGAGGATGCCGTGGGTTTTTCTCTCTTCTATTATATTTATTCTTAAAAAGCACAGGGATACAATGCAACTCCAGAGCAGTTTCAAGTCATTAAGCAGTATGCAAACACCTTAACTGCAATTTAGTATAGCGTTAAGAGCACACCCATCCCACAATTACCACAGTTGTTTCAACTTCTTATTTTATCCAGTTAACAGGAAAAGTGAAACATGCAATAGCTCATCATTAGACTTCACTATAGGAAAAACCTGAAGGTGCTTCCTATTAACATTATAATAACTAGAGATGAGGGAATAATTTGCAATGATTTATCCAAAAATGTAGCCTCTTTTTCTGTTCATTGAATATTTATTGATAGCTCATGGTTCTTCAAATTTATTGAATATTCAAAAAATATTTGACTTCTCTTTGGAATATTTTTACATACAAGATGATCACATTTTGCTTTGAACAGTCAATATTTAAAATCCACTACCTGAGCTGTGCTCATTAGTAAGTGGCCAGGTGTGGGCTAGTGAACGACTGCATGTCCAGCTTTAAAAATTGAGCTTCAGAGAATAATCACGTATTTTAAATAGGTCTTCCATGAATTCTTGCGCCAGGAAAACTCAAATGCTTTAATGTTCACAGGGAGCAAACACAAAGAGATTAAAGCTTGGCTAAAGATAAGCGAGTAAAATATGTGAACAAACATCTGCAGGCCTTTTTGCAGTCTTAGCCCAGATCCAGTAACGTTGGCCCTACTGACCTAAAAATGAACGACCTTTGGCACTGGGGTTAATTCAGCCACAGTAACCTTATATGCATGAAATGTTCCTCTAACAACATTAAATTGCGTTATATGATCTTCACACCAGACTTTCAAAAACACAGTCTTAGTTCCTGCTTTTCCTCTTTCCATTTATTAAATTGGTTTGGCCAGGACTACAACTTTTTAATGCCCTGGTTGTATCAAAGGTAGTATAAACAGCTATTGTTCCCTTCCTGAAGGGACATTCAAACCCTATCAGTGCTAATGGAGGTTACGTATGCTAGAGGAGTCAAGTTTACCACTTGCTTCAGCAGAACCAGGGGTCAGTTACAGCAACAGTAGATTTAGCCAGCAGACATGAATCAGTAAGGGAAAATACAGCTCTTGAGATGACAATTTGGCTGCATTTTAAGTCATTGTAAAGCTTGCATTGATTCAGAGGAAGCAAGGAGTTCCCTCCTAGTTTTAGGAGTTACATCTGAAGAATCAAACTCCTACAAAAGAACAAAAGAAATGATTTTGTGAAAACGTTCTTCTAGGATCTAACATCTCGAAAATAAAGGCAAACTGCACGGTACAAAACCACCACCAGATTCTGCTCTTTGGGCACTCCTTACTACCTGATTAGCCTTGACATTTTTGACTTTCATCTTCCGCACCATCCGTCTTTTTAAATCAAATAAGCCCAAAAGGACACCCTTGAAAGCGCATCTGTATAGTCTGAAATATGTTAATAATTACAGTAATTAAACCAAAGGGAATTTTTGTTTTAAATTCTCCCCCTCCAAGTTGAAATTTATGAACCTAGCAAAACAATCTTTAATAATTAGAATGAAGATTTCAAAGTACATATTCTTGACAAGAATAATTTTACATCATTCCAGCCAAAAGCAAACCTTTTTGCCAGTAAGTTCAGTAAGTCCAATGAACTCTTTCCTCTCAGATCTTTAAGTACATTACTCAACGCACCTCCAAACTTCATTCGCTAATTCACTGCAATAAACAAGACCCTATTTTCAGCCTAATTTTCCAAGGGAAAAAAAATTAACCTCTGAATCACACCATCTCAGCAAAGTATGAATCTGTTGGCCAACTCCAGTCAAGTTTAGCAGGGGTGTAGAATTCTCACAGATATGAAATTGCTTCAATTTTTATGAAAATAGGTGATGAGGGAGAACAGATAAACTCAAACTAGTGGACTTGCTAAAGAGAGTCACAGAAAACCAGACTTCTTCCCTTCTATTACTCATGAAACACCTTGACATCCAGAGAAAGGAATCAGCTAAAAGGGCAGGAATCTGGAGCACAGATACTTCTGCGTATTCAGGGTATTCTTTCAACATACTTTCCACTCTATTTGTCACTAGCCTTTAATAACAAGACAATTACATTGCTGATCAACTAATCCTGTGAGCCATGACATCTGGAAAAGATGCTCTTCAGACCAACTCCTTTGAACGTTAGATAGGAGGCCCACTATGAAGCATGAATGGATTTAAAAACCTGTCGGCAGCAAACCAGGTCCTCGGAGATGGGTAGAGCGCATCAGCCCAAGAAATGAATGATCTCCTGAGTCGGCTGCTACTGCCTCAGCTTGAGAGCTTCTAATTGATCGTCATGTGCCTTTTGAGTTAATGCACCAAGTAAGTGACTCGTGCCGTGACACAGAGAAATTGAGTGTGCGCAACCAAACAGCACTGTCGGATCAAAAAAAGTTCATTGCATACATATTTTCCAGAGCATTTTGTACCAAAGGAGACCTCAGAGACGAATGCTTGTTTTATTGAGATTACCAAACATGCTGAAATAGAAGTCACTGTGTTTAATGATATAATGAACCATTCTTTAGATTGTATTGTGCATACCTGGACTTCTCTTAGTTCTGTTGCTCATGTCTAAGGTTAATGTTTTCAAGACCTCACTGCTTTACATTGCCTTCCTCTCCTGCCCCTGTTCTATGCCCCAACACATTTTTATCTTTGTTCATATCACCTTATCCAGCAGAGGTTTCCTGTCTTCTCTGAAAGACCCTGTACCTACATATACACAAACCAACGTACAAACCACCATAGATATGAGAATATTTACTCTGATCTGCTCGACTCAGAGCAGTGCAAATCAAGGGAATGCCGTAATTCCTCTCCTGTCACGTGAGAGCTACTATCATTATATGCTTACACACCTGTTTTCTTTCTTTATATGCCTTCGCTTCCTTTGTCAGCGTTAATATTTCCTTGCATAACAAAGTCTCCTGAGAGATACGTATGGCATCCAAATGTTTACAAAGCCACATTGCCTGATGGAAGAAGAAAAAAAATACAGGTTGAAATATTTGGAAGGAAAATTAAACACTTTTTCAGAAGGCTGAAGAAAGACAGAGAGTGTTTTCCTAGCCTTCCGTTTAACAGCCTGTATGTGTAACTTTACACAGTTTCTTATAAAGATGTTCAAGAGTCTACAGACTGGAATAACATCTTTTTTATCTACTGCACTATAACACCGATTTTAAAGAAGAAAGCGCTCTTCCTAGCATGCACACACCACCGTCATCTGCCGTTTCTGTGGTCAGTTTTCCGTGTGGTTCAAACACAACTTTGACGTTTTCAGTTAGGCGGTACCAGAGGACATGACAGACAAACGGCCCTGCAAATGGAACAACCCACACTATGGGAACACCACAAACGTGTAACTGTGGTACTCCTCCCAGGTTCCTTAGTCCTGCTAAAAACCTGGGAAAACAAGGCAGGCAGAACTCTGTTGCACTACAGCAGTATCACCACCACTACCTGAGCGAGTTCTCACAGAGCTCACCTGAACCATTTAACCTCTAGTATAATATAGAGGCGTATCCCTTAGGAATGCCACCCTTCAATTTGTCTTGTGCTCTTCTGTTACTTGGATAATTCTGAAAATTATTTCTCAGAATAAAATTTTCACAAGTGCTGAACTCAGTAGAAAGCAAAAAGGTAAGTGGACAGCGTCAAAACATCGAAAGTAGTATACATACAACTGTGGTTTTCCCAGAGGCAGGTGGGCCAAGTACACAAATTCTTGGAGCTATGAAACAAGAATATGTGAATGTCAAGATGCAGAACAGCAAGAATCCCAACCAGTTTCCCATCTTGCATTGCACAATATAAATGTAATCACAACAAAACAATTATTTTGGTTGGAAAGCTGCCTGAATGGAGATTTCAGGATTGGGCTCCACCAGGGGAAAAAAAGGGGGAACACTCTGTCAGTGCCAGCTGGGTCTTCTCCCTCTTTAATCTCCGTGGTCAATGAGATTAACGCTCTGACTAAACATGCCACTTTGAGAGATACATTACATATATATATATCAATCAATTTAAATACATGGAGTGCTTAATGGGTGAACCAGAGCATAAGATACAAACATTTCCTTACCAGAGTTCGACTTTTATTCCCAAAACATTGATTCAGATCTAACACATTTTGGGATGAAAAAAATATTTTAGTTCGCTCATGCAGGACAGGACTGTTTAAAAGCGACTATTATCATAATCATAGAATGGCTGAGATTGGACAGGACTTTTGAGATCATCTCTTCTCTTATTTCCCTTACACAGTTTGGCAGTAAAAGTACTTTTCACTTCGGCAAAGCTTCTGGCTCTCATCACGACAAAATGCAATTTCACTTTTTAGCTTCATCTAAATAGGTTGTGTCAGGGTTCAGAGGAGATTTAGATATTGCAAAATTAAGCACTCTCTCTCTAACCTTTTTGACAGCCACGTTCAATTTTTACAGTCATCATTAAAAGTAATTTTCTTCATCTCTGTACCTTGTGTTTCTCTACCGCATGTCCCTCTCCTTTCCCGGAGAGGGGCAAGGTGGGAAAAACGCACCCCAGTTCTGAGGAATTCTTAATGTAATGCACACAGACAACACAACAGGCATTACCGTGGAAAGCCTCATTGGGAATGAATTAGAGGCAAGACAAACATGGGAAAATGGAATAACTCCTAGGAAAGTATTTGTGACTTTTTCCACGAACACACCTTGGGCTGCAATCCCTTGAGCTGCCATTTTGTATTAACATCTTTGATGTTTTTTCCTCTGTATCTCGGGGGGAAAAAGCGAACCAAACCAGACTATACACAGAAGAGACTGATGAGTATTTACTGGGAATAACACAGGTCAAAACAGAGGAGGAATCTGCTTATCCAAAAAACCTCTTCAGCTCTTGATAACCAAGGGAGATACAGTGTCTGATGGCAGCAGACAGGGAAGGATGTGAAATGTATTTTTATGAGGCCTTCCACGCACTTAACAGTTATTGGGCAGGTGCAATTTTTAAACATACATGAAACCCAAATTACAGATTCATCTTTACAAAGTTATCTCACTTGGAAGGTTTAAGAAAAACTCCCCCCTTATTGGTTCTTGCAAGTGCAACAGAACTAGTACACAATGTAGAAAAATACTTTAAAAGGATACATCAGCTGTTTTTATCACCTAATTTCTTTCAAATGTAATGTGATTAAATCCTAGGGTTTTTTTTTAATCTAACACCTTGAAACTCCAGCCCGGTACTTAGGAATTATTTATAAACAGCGTCATAAAAGAGTGCTCGGGTGCCAACACTAATCAACTTCTTCAAACCACTTCAAAGAAAATCAAAAAACCTTTCCATCCACAGATCCTTTTGAGGTTTAACTAGGAGCATGATTTAAAATTCACAAGAAAACCCTTAGGTATTGAAGCTTTAATACACAGCTTTCTTGGACAAACGTTTGATAAAAAACGAAACATACCATTATATACACCATATCATGCTTTAATATTGCCCAGGGCTACTGTAAATGCTCACTTTGTACTAAATCTGGTTTTCTCTCTGCTTAGTGGCTGGCAGCAGATGGGGCAGTGTAATTCACTGATTTACTCATTTGCACACTTGTAAGACTCCTCCAAAGCATTCTCCCTAAACATATGACACAAGGGCACAACCAGGACACCACTGTATGTAATGTTTAACCCCCTCCAATCAACAGTCAGTACTTAATACTAACTGGAGGTCTGAACCACCAGCTAAATGAAGACAGAAAAATCTAGAAAATTCCTTTTTCTTCAGTAACAAACCGTATTTCATTCCACATTTAGTCTCGATGAGACGTTACAGGATTTACTCTTCCAAGTAAATTAAGTTTTAACATTCCACAATGATTTTAGCAATAACAAAATTAATCCTGGAATAACGCAGAAGAACAGCTGGACCATTTAAATCCAAAAGATTGTACGATCAATGTTAATGCAACAAAATTTGCTTAAGTTGTAAGAGAAATCCTACGTCAAATAGGAAAAGCACACAGTACACGATGAACATTCCTGCAGAACTTTTTGATGTTTCTTCAGAGGTTTGACTGCAAAGGAAGAACTCACAGAAACGCCCCTTGGATCCTGAAAGCGTTTTTCAGTGGCACAAACCAAGGCACAATGTAGAAAACTAGCACCTTCGTGTATGAAAGAATTATCAGTCTCCATGTGGTTCTTCAAGGTTTTTAGAAGGAACACACGGAAGCACAGCAGTACAGAGCCTTAAGCGCAAACACTCAGCCACACATTTGACCTACGAGATTTCCAGGACAGTTGTAAGCTATAATCATCATCAGACTTGTTTATAGTTTTAAGAGTACTTTAGATCCTATTATTAATTTAAAAGGTTTTCTAACCTCACACCTGGGATAGATGCAATGCTTCTTTTCCACACATCTCTGTTTGAAATTTTCTCTAGGGCTAAAACTGTCTAGCAAGGCAAGATCATGAAAATTCATCACTTTACTGATGGCTCTAATAAGGGGTTTTTTTTCTTCTAAATAGTCAGCACCTTCCGCCATGATCAAAAAGTAAAATCAACCCTGCTACAGATTTCTGCTACATTATTTTCCATATAATTTATTCTTAAAACAACATTTAGGCTTTAATTTTAATTGGAGTTCCTTGCCTTTCCTAATAGGTTTTTTCAGACCGAAAGCAGACAGCATTTTTCCTCTGACAAACAACTGCTGTAGTTCTATCTTTAGCCTCCAAGTACTGAAGTCATGAAATGGAAACCTGCCTAATTCTGTTCAAATCATAATACCGCGGGGCTGAAGGACAAATGTTAGCTCGATGCGAAGAAATTTTACCAGCGTTCTATCAAACCGCAGGAAATTCTTCCGCACATTTTCCACGGGTCTATAAAACAGATTGATTACTCATGCTGCCTGCATCAGAAAAGGCTGGACACAATTTGCAGGATTTGATTTTTTTTTTTTAAATATATTTAGCAGCATTTCAATCAACATCCATCCGATCACCACCACGAAGAGCTCACAGCACCTTTAGTGCTAATGATTTCATTGATGCCGCGGCAGAACTTTCATAATGGTTTACTATGGTTTTAAAGAAACATCAAAGCAACATGACACCAGCTATTCCTGACAGCTCATGCAGAACAAAAATTATAGTTCAGTTGTGCATATCCAAATATAATCTGCCTAAGGGTGAACAGTTTGTAAATCAAATAATTTGATTGAGTGTACATGCTTTTATTGTGCAGAATACAGGCTTCCTATTCAATTTACCAGGCTCTGTTATACATACAAGCAGGCGTGCTCACTGCTCCTTCGCCTGAGATGCCACCGAGCAGTGGAACTCATTAACAGCAGCTAGTAACTAACTAATCAAAAAACGCAGAGAATCTGCCAGCCCAGGTAGAATAGGAAACCAAATTTACACCTGACAAAAGGAGTAATTAGCGAGCTTAAAGACAACAGGAAATATCAGATGGGGCACAGAACGCATTAATAATTGATACACTAGAACTCTTTGTTATTCCCTTAGAGGGTTTCATTGTTATAACTGTTAAAGTGCATTTTTTATTAGATTACCCACTAAAAAAAGAAATTAAAAGCATCTTACCTATAACTATTCGAAAACGCTCACCTTTTTTTTTTTTTCCTCCCCCTCAAGACACAGTCTGAAAAGTTTTATCCATCATCTGCCAACCGAAGCGCAGCTTTCAGACAGCTGTTTACAAATAAGGACTTGAACTATTTATGGTGTCTCAATTTTCTACTTACCATCATCGTTGTTTTGCTTTAAATGGTTTATCATATACTGAATGGGATCATCTGGCTTATGAATTAATAGTTCTTCAAGCATGTTCTGAAAATAAATAGGACAAAGTCAGAGGAAAATTTAACATCGCTGTGCGGTCACGATATATTGCATTTTTACTGCAAATTTACAACGAGGATCTTAAAGAGTTTATAAATGTTTATTTATTTCCTTGAAGCCCCTTTCACAGACAAAATTGAGACTATGAAACCTATTTCAGATGCTGAAAAAACTGAAGTAAAGCATGGTCAGAAAACTGCCAATACAAAGAACAATCGATTTGCTTTGGCTTATTTATGACACATAACGGACACCAGAAAGGTTCGGCTCGAGCAGGCTGGTGTCGATAACGGCTGAGTCAGCACTGACATAAAAAGCAGACATGGGGCTTCAAACCCAGCGTCGACGTGGATTAGTATCGCTGTGGGGAAGTTAAAGCTCCTTCTCCAGCGCATCCCCACAAGTTTCTGACTCGCCTGGAGGGCTGCAGAACAGAAAGACCTGCAGAAAACACAAACCCCAACAGCCAAAGCCACAAGAGCAGCACCTCTCACTTTGTAACCGCACTCGTCTTCTTCTACGTGAGGAGTTAGTTGGGGGGGGGTTGGGGCTTAAAGCAAAACAAAAGGCTTAAAGCATTTCCTTGAATGTCCGTTTCGGAGCCGATTTTCACATGAAATGTTTGAGGTGATGCAGGGCCTTGCTTCAGCTCCCACCGACAGCAGTGGGGATCTTCCCCTGCTTTCCGCGAGGACCGCAGCGTCACGACAGCAGTAACGCTGAGGAACACCGACGCCGCGGATTTTCCTACAAAACCCTTCAGCACGGTCAAGAACTCTGTAATTAAAACTAAACATCAGACAGCAACTAATGTTCTGACTGACGTTACCCACTGAACTAGGACGCCTTTTTCTGAAAATCAGTCATAACACTTTAATATTTGCAAGTAAATTCCATAAAGTCTTTATATTCCATAACATCTTACACTCCACCAATTAATGGTCTTTTACTGGAGTGGCCTATTTTCCTTTTCTACTTCATTAGAATAATTAAAACTCAATTTTGTTTATAAACTGTTTCACACGGTAAGTGCTGATGCTTCGAGGTCTGGGTAGCACATAGCATAAAGGCTAAAATTTATATTTTTATTGGAAGTTTGTTTAAAAATTATTACTTTCCAGCAGCATTTTTTTAAACTAAGAAATCTGAATTTGGCACTACAATTACCCACAGCTTTAAAAATAACAAACCTAAGAAAATCTGGTCTTATTACAATCCAAAATTGTTCAGCCTGACAGCAATTGATACTTTCACTATTTCGCTCCCCAGTCCTACCAGCGCTTATGTGCACGCTCCATTTCATTTAGTTCTGCTAATCCCAGTTTAATTTTACACGAGCAGTTCTGTTAATCTCTGGGGGAGGTTCACGTTTTGGGTCTCACGTTTTAGGTTTCGTTTGGGGGGTGGTAAATGTTTACGTTTAGGACAATAAATTCAAGCTGTGTTTGTTTGTGCCATTATGTTGCTACAAGACAACTGAAGCATGAAAAGAAAACAAGACTCTGGGTAAATCCCACAATGGCTGTATGTAACAGGAGGTCCTGCGGCGGCACGCAGTGCCCCATGGCACGCGAAACGCTGTATATTCCTTGAAAACCCCATAAATATTATGCCCCACTGGTCATACTAAATGGCCTTGAGTTACAGGAAAAAGGAAAAAGAAGAATAGGAAAGAAAAATAAGTATTTGTGTGTTCTCCTGTGAGATCTGAAGAAGTAAAAAGGCCTTACAGCAGAGGCAGAGCTACGAGCCGGCAGCGGTGCGCAGGGGGAGCCTCTCCAACACCTTCTGATACCAGAACAGCGCCCGAATATTCAGTCCCTCGCACAAACCTCCCCACGCTCGACAAAAGGGCTTTTCCCAAACCCAAAGACACCTTTCTCTAAGGCGGGAAAGCCAACCTCGCTCTCTACCGACAGCGCAGCGAGCTCAGCAGTGTACTTTTGTCTGCATTTTTGACACAGCTCCACAGAAAAGCCCCGACAGCAGCAGGAGAATCGACTCCAAAGGGACACAGGGGCTGCGAGGAGCACGTTACCCCCCAGCTCCTGGCTCGGGAAGGGCCAAACCGCTCAGCTCCGTTTTTCCCGCGCTTCGCTCGTTACTGCCGCCTCCTCCTCCTCTTCCTCCCCGTCCTGCCCGGCCTGCCATGCCTTTCAGCGACTCGACACCTTTCTTCCATGGGCTGCCACTTTTTAAAACCCGACACCCGCGACCCCCAGCAACTGCCAGGCTGTTATTAAAAGGAGTTAATTAATTGAGAGAGCCCTCGGCCGGGGCACCCGCCCTCACCGGGGACACCCCCCGCGCTTTTCCACAGGAACCCGGTGCCGGCCG